CCAGAAGGGTGGCTATGCCCGTCAACTCTGCGCCGGCGGAACACGGGCCGCAAGCTTGCGCGACGTCCAGGGGAGGATCGATTCCTTCCTCCGGCTGTTCCCAATCATCAGCCACCTCGACAGCACGCGTCTTCTCGTGCAAGTCATCAACAGTGCTGCTGTTCGTGACACAAGCTCCAACGGGGTATGACTATACAATTTCAACCGTGATTAATCGACTTTGTTAGTTGCCAGCAAACTAGTGGAGTAGCCGGTGCATTTGCGCGGCTAGTATCAACAATTCTACTACAATATTGTATTATATTTTATTGTTATTTTTTCTACTTATTTTTCCGCTTGATGTTCTTTTTGTAATGGCAATAGTGGGCACTTTTCTTGGTTTGATATTATAATCATAATTAGAACTGATGCACCTTTCTCAGGGGACTGACGAGGATACAGTATGGTCGCATAACAATAACACCTACACGCATGATGATCATAGGTTTCTCTCCCTCCCCAACTTTTTGCATGCAAGATCATAGGCCCCTTCTTCCTCTAAAATGGTTTTTACATGCAAGATCTCTTTTTCGCGTTTTTCCAGCAGGCTTCAGAACTTTAGTTTTTCCCAATTGATGACTGCCACAGATAGCTTCTCATTCGAAAACCAAATTGAACAAGGTCCCTTGGCAATATTATACAAGGTATTAACAGTTATTTTATTTTACTTTTCTACTCTTTCATTTCTCCTTCTTAACATACCCGGTGCATGGTTTTTCCCCATTTTCAGGGTCATCTATGTGGCAATGATGTCACGCTAAGAAAACTTTCACTTTCTAATTCTGGTCAACAGTTGCCACAAAGTATCAGTGGATATCAGCTCTTTAAAAACGAGGTTAAGATTCTTTCTAAGCTTCAGCACAAGAATATCGTGAAACTTATGGGATTTTGCGCAGAAAGAAGCGAAAGAATTTTGGTCTATGAATACATGCAGAACGGAAGTCTTGAGGACGTCATCTTTGGCATGTTAACTTCCCTTATAATTTCTTACAAATTTTTGTATATTATCTCTCTTATATCTGATGATCCCCTAACTTGCTCTATTCGAATGATGTTTACTCATATCTTCATACATTTTACAGTGCAAATGAAAGGTGGGCTAAAAGTTGAGTGGCCTATACGCTTTCGCATAATCGAAGGAGTTGCACAAGGTGCAATATATCTGCACAATCATTCCAGACAGCGAATTATCCACAGAGATTTGAAGCCAAGCAATGTTCTTCTCGATTCCGATATGAATCCAAGAATATCTAATTTTGATTTGGCGAAAATTGTAATCGAAGACTCAGATCAAGGCACAGCAGATTGTGTAGTAGGCTCACTGTAAGATCTCATTACTACATAAAAAACTTCTTATTTAGCATGTTCAAACGTTCATTTACCATCAGACAACAAGTAAAATATTGTTTGCAACTATATAACTCAGATTAATGTTTTCTACCATAATGATGTAATCAATAGGAATGGAAGCCAAAAAATGTTTTGTTTTTAATTAGCGCAAACTTACAATCTGAAAGATGTCCAGATGTGTCCAGCTTCGCTACCATTTTCTATTTTGCATATTAATTCATTCTGCGTTGCAATCAAATTGATATCTCTGTTATAAATAGATTAAGGTATGTGCCTTCTTTCGCATCTGGTTAAGATATCTCTGTTACATGTTTTTCTTGTTTGTATTTGGAAATGTACACTATAAGCATAGGCGATAAAAGATACTACGACCCTCTTTGGCAGGGCTTTATTGGCTTTGGTATATGCTCAGTGCTTGTTTTCACTGTAGCTACATGGAAATAAGCCAGAAAAAGCCATAAAAATGTGGCTTATTCTGGCTTATTCCTATCTTGAACAATGTTTTTACTGTAGAATATCTACAGTGTCAAAAAAATACATAAGCCATTGACGCATAATATGCTAAAAGCCTTGCCAAACGACCCATACATCGTAATTCTTAATACCAGAGGATTTAAGATATATTACTGCCAGTATGGTCATATGTGTTAGGCGTTCCTTGATCAGATAGTTAATGAAACCAGCGGCCGTCTGAGGGAGTTGTCAGTGACGCAGTAATACATTATAATATTTTATCACACAGTAATATATCCTAAGCAGGGTCCTGTGTTCGTACCCACGGTTGCTGACATTACGTTGTGATCTTTCAGTGGATTTATTGCTCCAGAATATATGGAAAAGGGTACCTTCTCGGTCAAGACCGATGTGTATAGCTTTGGCGTCATGATTCTTGAGACTATCAGCGGGAAACGATGGACCAAGCAACTGCAAGAAACTTATTACAAAGATCTGCGCATATGGGTAACTAAACATCCAAATTACTCTTCAACCGTAGCCGCGATATGCTCACATGAATAGGGACTTGTGAACTTAAATAAGTTGCATATGTGATAATGTTGCCCAGGCCTTCAAGAAAACACCATGGCGTGGCGTCAAACTGGAGCAGAGGCTGAAGGGCTTTATTCATCCATCGCTTCACAACGTGTCGTTCGTCGGCAGGATTGTGCCACGGTGCCTGTCCTTCCCGGCTAGGAGGTCCATTCTGTCACAGCAGAAGGAGGTGAGAAGGTGTATCCGTGTGGCGCTGCTGTGTATCCAGCAGAATCCAGAGCAACGGCCGGACATGCTAGAAGCAGCACGGATGCTGAGGCCACGGAAGGCCAGGGTTCCTTTCCCGCGCCGGCCTGGCTATGCCAGGGAGAGCCCTATGTACGCCGGTGATAGGAGCTAGCACGACCGCATAGCTATACACTGGAAAAACAAAAAAAAAAATATATACTTGAAAACTATTCGCAAATAGTGAAACTAGTGGGCTCCAATGGAGTAAATTATAAATTTAGCAAGTGGTAACAATTGAAGAGTAAGTGGTATTACAAAATCATGTGATGATTTATTATTGACTAGTGAACTAGGCATTACAAAGTGATTTGTTCTGTTTGTAGATCACCTGTGTTACTTTGACGTCCTTATGATAACACTCTTTGGTGGTTTGGGTTTTATGAATAGTATTGCCTACCGATCCTGAATCAAGTTACAGACTTGTGCTCGTGCTCGAATTTTTGTTTATTTCGATTGAGGCGTTGATTGAGATGGAACGTGCTCGATGACAGAATGATTCTTGAGGCTTAGAAGTATGCTTTTGTGGGTCCTCTGCAGAACTTCATTTTTCCTTTACTTTTTCAAGATTTCTGTTGCAGTTGTGCCACATTGATTGGTTTCCAAAAGCCTTCCCGACCTTGATGAGAAGATTGGCCCCTCTAATCTCTCCCAGTGCTGTACCGCAAGATATGGATGCCCTTTGCATATATAACTTTTTCTTAGAACAGTGGCGAGAAGAACGTTATGGTGTAGTGACAACTAGAGAGATCATAATTGCAGAAGAAAAATACCATGGTACAGAAGAAAAATACCATGGTACCTCTAACTGAATTATTCATCAGAAGTTCAATCCACAGCAAAAAAAAAACATGTTGTAAAACTAGGGTAATAAAAGAATATTGTAGTGCAAATAATATCTTTAGCAGTATCTACGGTGTTATTTATTGAACGGGCAAACATCAAGCCAGGTTTGTGCATAGAAAAAAGAAATAATTTTTTCATTTGTTTGGTTCCTGACTATCTTCTAAAGTCTGGCACTACTGGTATTTCAAAAGAAGCCGGCTAGTCTGGCTTATCCAAACACAAATATCTGCAAGTCAGGCTTGCACAATTGTTGCTTCCGATGTGACGCAGTTCCCCTAATGATTCTCGGTTGGAATAAGAGCCTGTTTGAATCCCTCTGATTTTCTGAGAAACAATCCTGGTGATCCACGTGTTAGTTTCTTGAATAATTTTTAGAAAGAGAATGACTATACACCTGACCCAAACGTCCGACTGCAACGTGGACCTGAGTGATAAAAACAATCTTGTTTACGCTTCAAATTTAGAGCTGCCTGAAAAAATTCGAGTACCATTGTGGGTTGAAGATGAGGGTCCGTTCTCCAGTCGGTAGAGCGTGGTCAGACGAGTAGCAGTCCTCTTGTAGAAACCATATACTCCCCTCCGTTTGGAAATAATTGTCATCCGGAAAATTACTGTTACAAATTTGTCTCTACATTTTTTTTCTACAAAACAATTTGGAAGATTTAAGTAACTAGAAACTTTTGAAGGGAAAATGTAAAAAAAATTGCTACAGTAATTTTCAGGGTGACAAGTAATTCCAAATGGAGGTAAGTACCAATTTTTAAGTCACAACTTATGGAATGTCATTAGTTAGTACCGTCTGAATCCAAATATATATGCATGCATGTCCGTTGTGGAATGTATTGAAGAGTATGCATTTTTTAATGTTCCCCAAAAAAGTATACATTTATTAATTTCCGTTGTATTGATTTTTTATCAGTTATAATCAGGAAAACATTATTCGGGCCGAAAAGGTATGTATGTCTTGAGGAGCTGCTTATAAAACAAAAGGAAACGATCGGAGGGCTCCGATCGTGCCAGGATCTGTACGAGGCGGTGGTGCGTCTGAACCAGCCGGCTTGCCACGCCGCGGCGAGAGATCGGAGGTACGGCGACGCCAAAGACGTGCCTCGCCGGATGGTGGACGCGGCGGAGGTTTGTGATATGTGGTTCCGGCAGCGGAATGTGACGTCGCCGATCGCCAAGGAGGACGACGACCTGGCCAAGCTAGCGAACCTTGCGATCGCACTAGCCATTGTCTCGCGTGATTGACCTGCTACCTGTATTATGCCATCTGTTTTCGATTTACTTTCTTCGCAGGATAAGGGAAAAAAATTCGTTCATAGCAATATTGACGCGATCTGTTTATGATTTTGATCGGGTATGGATATACATACATACCTATTAATAAGTATATCTCATCCGGAAGGAAATAAATTCACAAAAATCCATGTTCCCGTGTTCAGTTCTGTGTCCTTCTATGAGAGGGAAAGAAAACTAAAAAAAGATATTGGAGATGCGAGGAATCGAACCCCGTACCTCTATCAAAGCGTGTGATAATGCTCTACCAATTGAGCTACATCCCCAATTCAATTGATTATACAATATAATTAAATTTATTATCACTTTATTTCTTTTATGATACTAGAAATAAGCCAATGCAGTCACCGAATAGCCTTCTGATATACTTCATATTATATATTTCTGATCATAACGGGGTACATACTAGATATACTTTAATATTAAATATTTCTTACTGATGTTGCCTGAAGATATTGCAGAACAAAAGAGAAATCATAAAAGAAACTGTTAGCGTATTCATGGTTAGTGACGAGCAGAAGAGGAGGTGGTGAAGGGCGGTGCCAGGCCAATTTCAATGAGGTCGCGCGCTGGGTAGAGCCAGTGTGTGGGAAATTAAACAACGGCGTGTCAGCTTCGCCTCAGTGAACCCTAGCTTAGCATTGATGATCCCGATATAGTTGGCCAAACGGACCGGGCCAAATGGGCAGGCACGAAGCGGCGTTTTTGGCCCGGCCCAGGCACAGCACGGCCCGAAATTACATGGGCCAGGCCGGCACGACACGAAGCATTCGGGCCATGCTTGGGCTGACGCCCCAGCCCAGTGGACAGAACGGCCCGACACGCGTAAGAGGCGGCACGATGTAGCCCACCAGAGCATGGCCCACCTAACAGCCCAGCTCCCTCAAACCCTAACAAATATCTCTCCCTCAACGTGTCACCCGCCTCCTCCCACCCTTCCCATCCCCATGCCGCCGCCCTCCTCCCTCTCCTCACTTCCTTGTGCCGCCGCCCTCCTCCCTCTCCTCCTCGGCTCCTCCCCTGCACCGTCGCGCCGCTGGTGTCCTCTCTCGCGCCATGGCGGCGTCCGCCTCCTCCTCGCTCCGTCGGCCTCCTTCCCCGCGGCATGGCGCTGCCGTCTGTTGGGGTCCTGGCAACAAGTATATGGCAAAGGAGATAGCGAAGGGCAAGCCACACCCGCCTAAGGCAACCAAAGCCGCCCGGAACCAAGAGAAGGACAAGCGAAGCAGAGCGGAAAGAGCACATGGCGCAGGAGCCCGAGGTTGCTAAGCTAAGAGCTATGCTAAGATAGCCGATGGCATGCATGTAAATATAGTCATCTCGCCCCTTATAAATATGGAGGGAGATGATCCTGTAATGACATCTGGTTTTCGAGCCTCGAGCCAAAGGAGGAATCACTTGCACCGCGCTCAGACCTCTCTAGTCATTCAACCCCTTCGCCCAGTATCGCGGGTGAAGGAGAGCTTCACGCAACAAACTGCAGGGAACCTGAGTGAGAACACCTTCATCCGGCACCGCGGACCAGGAAGGAGGGCTTCGCTCCAACTAGTAGACGGCGACGACGAACAAGGAGGGCTTCGCGAGGTGATCCGAAGGCATCGTCGACCTTCGAGGGCTTCGCCAGAATCAGAACGCTTCTATATTCCATTGGAGGGCTTCGATACGTCACACGGAGACCTTCGATCCCCCAACATTTGGCGCCGTCCGTGGGCCGAACCCACGATGAAAAGAAAGCAAGACTACCACCAAGCAAAAGCTGCGAGGGTAAGAACAGAGCAAGAAGGATGGAAGCATTCAACCATCCGCTTCACAACAGACGACATCAGAGTCTCCGATTATCCACCTACAGACGTCTTCGTGATCAAAGCCGACATCGAAGGGTATATGGTCCACAGAATCATGATCGACAATGGAAGCTCAGAAAATATCATCTTTAAAGATACTTTGGTACGCATGCAAATCAACAGCCATGAGAATACCAGCAAAACAACCCTGAAGGATTTCGGAGGAGAAGAAGCATCTTCAATCGGAAAAATAATGTTGAAAGTAACCTTCGAAGACGAAGATAGATCCATAACCCAGGAGACGGAGTTCATAGTCATAGACTCACCCAGCGAATACAATGCAATCTTCGGAAGGCAAATCATAGTAGCTTTCGGAGCTGCAATCCATCACAACTACCTGATGATGAAGATACCTTCGGAACAAGGCACCATTAACATATGCTGTAACCCCTTCAGACCAAGAAGTGGCAAAGAAAACGACTCAGGAGAAAAGAACGAACATGAAGGCCATCAAGCGAAGGCAGAACAAGCAAAGCTAGAACCTTCAAGCGAAGTCGAAGAAGTAATCTTATGGTCCAAGAAACCAGAAAGAACGGTTAAAATAGGAAAAAGTCTGTCTAAGAACGAAAGAGAACAGATAATCAGGTTCTTGAAGCAAAACTCTGACATCTTCGCATGGTCACCACAAGACATTACAGGAGTCAAAAGAGAGACAATTCAGCACGAGTTAAAAGTCAATCCAAAAATAAGACCCTTCGCAGACAAGATCAGAAAAGCGTCGGAAGAGAAGAAGGCCGCCGCAACAAACGAAGTAAACAAGTTGCTAAAAGCCGGTGTCATAAGACCAACAATATTCTCGAGCTGGTTATCCAACGTCGTTCTCGTTAAAAAGAAGACAGGAGAGTGGAGAATGTGCATTGATTTCACAAGGCTAAACAAAGCATGCCCTAAAGACAACTTCCCACTAGACCGAATCGATACAATAACTGATTCGGTAGCCGGTTGTCAATTGCTAAGTTTCCTAGATGCTTATTCAGGCTATCACCAGATTCATATGGCGAAGGAAGACGAAGAAAAGACAGCCTTCATCACCTACGATGGAACCTTCTGCTTCGTAAGAATGCCGTTTGGCCTTCGGAATGCGGGAGCAACGTTCGCCAGAGTCGTGAAGATGATCTTCGAAGACCAACTGGGAAGAAATGTTGAAGCATACGTAGACGACATAGTTATAAAGACAATAGAAAGAGCTGACCATTTAAAAGACCTAGATGAGACATTCGAGAATCTGAGAAAGCACAATGTAAAGCTGAACCCAGCAAAATGCGTCTTCGGAGTTGAATCAGGCAAACTACTGGGATTCATGGTCTCCCAGCGAGGGATCGAAGCTAACAAGAAGAAAATCGAAGCTATACAAGACCTCGCCCCACCAAAATGCCTAAAAGATGTGCAGAGACTAGCTGGAAGGCTTAATTCTCTAAGCAGATTCATTCCGAAACTGGCAGAACAGAGTAATCCTATTTTCAAGGCACTCCGAGCGAAGGAAAAATTTCAATGGGGATCCGAACAACAAGAAGCCTTCGAAGGCATAAAAAGAGCTCTTACAGAATTAGCTGCTCTGGCCAGCCCAAAATCAAGAGAAGACCTGCTCCTATACATTGCAGCTTCGGTATCAGCCGTAAGTGCAGTACTTGTTCACGAACACAGCGAAGACAAAGTTCAAAAACCTGTATACTTCGTCTCCGAAGCCCTGTCAGGAGCAAAGCTACTCTACTCAGAAATAGAAAAGATGGCTTACGCGGTGATCATGGCTTCAAGAAAATTGAAACATTATTTCAGCAACAGGAAAATAATAATACCAACCTCTTTCCCCCTTCGTGACACACTACGAAGCAGGGAAGCGATCGGACGAATAGGAAAGTGGTCAATAGAACTGGCACCCTTCGACATCGAGTTCAGAGCAAGAACAGCCATCAAGGCAGCAACTCTCGCAGATTTCATAGCAGAATGGACCCCTCCTACTCCCGAAGCCTCTATCCAAATTGAAGAATCTTGCTGGACAATATTCACTGACGGTGCATGGGGAGCAACAGGAGCCGGAGCCGCGGCGATAATAACATCACCTTCGGGAATCAAATTAAGATATGTTGTCAAGATGGACTTTTAGTCAACCAACAATATTGCAGAATACGAAGGAGTTGGGGCTTCGCAAAGCAAAGACTTTAGGTGCAAGAAGAGTGCTCATTAGCACAGATTCCGAAGTATAGCAAATCAAGTTGAAAACAATTACAAGACGAAGGACCAAGAACTGATCAAGTATCATAAAGTGGTCATAAAAATGCAAAAATATTTCAAAGGTTTCACTGTGCAAAGCCTAAAGAGAAATCTAAATTAAGAAGCAGATGCTATAGCGAAGGCCGCTGCCAAAGGCGAAGGTCTCCCTCCGGACGTTTTCTTTGAAATTCTAAATAAGTCAACCGCCGAAGAATTAGCAAGAAAAATTCATCACCTTTTCCAGATATGGGAGGATTGGAGGGCTCCAATAATAGCCCACCTTAATAATCAGTATGAACCACAAGACGAAGCCGAAGCAAAGAGAATAGCACAAAAGGCAAGAAATTACAAATTAATCGAAGGCCAACTATACAAAGGAGGAGTCTGTCAGGCCTGGTTGCGATGCATTCTACCAGAAGACGGGAAGCAACTCCTTCATGAAATACATTCCGGCATGTGTGGATCTCATATCGCATCAAGACCTCTCGTTGCGAAGGTATACAGAATGGGTTTCTACTGGCCAACTGCCACCAAGGACGCAGAAGAAATAGTCAAAAAATGCACTGAATGTTAATTCTTCGCAAGACATCAGCGAAGCCTGGCAGCAGAAGTACAGCTGATGCAACCCATTTGGCCATTTTACCAATGGGGCATCGATATAGTTGGAAAACTACCAGCAGCTCTAGGAAATCTCCAGTACACCTTCGTCGCAATGGATTACTTTTCAAAGTGGATCGAGTTCAGAGCAGTAGCTTCGATCACTTCAGAAAATATGAAAAAATTCGTCTGGCAAACAGTAATCTGCAGATTCGGAGTACCCAAAAAGATAGTGGTGGACAACGGGAAACAATTCGATAGTCATCTATTCACAGAATTCTGCGAATCGTTGGGGGTAAACCTACGCTTCGCATCATTATACCACCCTCAATCAAATGGAGCAGTCGAGAGTGCAAATAAAAGAATATTCGAAGCAGTACAAAAGAGGCTACTCAACATCAAAAAAGGAAAATGGCCAGAGGAGCTTCATTCAGTACTCTGGTCGTTAAGAACAACTCCATCCAGATCAACTGGTTTTAGTCCTTTCAAGCTACTCTTCAGGGAAGAAGCAATGACACCGGAAGAAATACAAAACAAGTCACTACAAAGCCTACCAGGAAACTCTGACGAGTCAACTATAACTTCGAAGGAAAACTTGGAAGAAGTTCGCAATG